CCCCTGCTCTAATACAGAGTATATATACAGTCCCCTGCTCTAATACAGAATGTATATACAGCCCCCCTGCTCTAATACACAGTATATATACAGCCCCCTGCTCTAATACACAGTGTATATACAGCCCCCTGCTCTAATACAGAGTGTATATACAGCCCCCTGCTCTAATACACAGTGTATATACAGCCCCCTGCTCTAATACACAGTGTATATACAGCCCCCTGCCCTAATACAGAGTATATATACAGCCTCCTGCTCTAATACAGAGTATATATACAGCCCCCCTGCTCTAATACACAGTGTATATACAGGGAGGGTGGGTACTGACAAACATGACGTAAACAACGCTTTGTGCAGGGTGCCCTGACTTATGTACGGACACAACATTTCCGGGACATACATTTTGTTGTAAAATAACCTACTCAATACGGCACGTTAAAGTTTAATGAGTTACATATCTACATTTTCAGTGGCCAACAAGACAATATACTTCTGCTTATACTTTAGTTTTCTGACAATGTTGACCTGGATGGTAAGGACTGGCTTAGAATTAAGGTAGATGTGTATGACAAACTCCCCTCTCCAAGTGAGTTTGCCACGAGCTCCTGGAGGAGCCTGCTTGCCAGCCTCCTGCCCACAGACTATGAGCACCTGCTACAGCAGAAGATATTCGTGCTCTGCTCCGGTCCTCCCGCTCCACCTCCTATTCCCTCACATCTCATCCGCACTTTGTCTCCCTCTCTTGCTCTTCCTCTCACTAAAATCTTCAATCTCTCCCTTTCCTCTGGCACATTTCCCTCTCCCTTCAAACATGCAACTGTAACCCCAATTCTGAAAAAGCCCAGCCTTGACCCCAACTCACCATCCAACTACCGCCCTATCTCGCTATTGCCATTTGCCTCCAAGATCCTCAAGAGAGTTGTGAACATCAGACTGACTGACTTTCTCAAATCCAACTCTCTGCTTGACCCCCTTCAGTCTGGATTCAGCACTGGTCATTCTGTCGAAACCGCTGTGACCAAAGTATCCAACGATCTAATCGCTGCTAAATCTCGCCGCGAATACTCTATCCTAATTCTCCTTGATCTTTCTGCTGCCTTTGACACTGTTGATCATCAACAGCTTCTTTGCATTCTCCGTAATTTTGGTCTACGGGAAACTGCTCTCTCCTGGTGCTCCTCCTACCTCTCCCAGCGCTCTTTCAGTGTTTTTTTTCTCTGACTCTGTCTCTTCCCCCCAACCACTCTCTGTCGGCGTCCCCCAAGGTTCTGTCCTTGGTCCCCTACTGTTCTCTATCTATTCTGCCTCATTTGGGAAACTCATCAGCTCCTTTGGCTTCCGTTATCATTTCTATGCGGATAACACGCAAATCTACCTGTCCTCTCCTGATCTCTCTCCACCTATCTTGACTCGTGTCTCTGACTGCCTCTCTTCAATCTCCAACTGGATGGCTGCTCACTTCCTTAAACTCAACCTGTCCAAAACAGAACTTCTGGTCTTTCCTCCCTCAAGTGTTACTACTCCTGTGTCTGTCTCCCTCCAAGTCAATGGCGCTACCATCACCTCTACCTCACAGGCTCGCTGCCTGGGTGTTCTTTTTGACTCCAACCTCTCCTTCACCCCTCATATCCAATCAATCACCAAATCCTGTCGCTTCCATCTCAAAAACATAGCGTGCATTCGCCCCTATTTAACCCCAGATGCGGCTAAGGTGCTGGTCCATGGTCTTGTTCTCTTTCGCCTTGACTTCTGCAATACCCTTCTCAGTGGTCTTACGTGTTCCCAGACTGCACCGCTGCAATCTATAATGAATGCTGCGGCGAGGCTCATTTTCCTGTCTGCCCGCACCTCCCACGCCTCCCCGCTCTGTCAGTCCCAGCACTGGCTTCCAGTTAAATATAGGGCTCAATTTAAAATTCTGGTGCTTGCTTACAAGTCCCGACATAATGCTGCTCCAACCTACCTATCCTCCCTAATACACAAGTATGTCCCGTCCAGACCCCTACGCTCTGCCAAAGACCTACGCCTATCCTCTGTCCGTACTCCCACCTCTGATGCTCGCCTCCAAGATTTCTCCAGGGCTGCACCTCTTCTGTGGAACACCCTTCACTTCTCCGTAAGACTTTCACCCAGTCTCCACTCATTCAAAAATCATTGAAAACTCACTTCTTCAAGAAAGCATATCAGTTAAACTGTAAGCAGGTTTTTATCCCCCACCCCCATGACTCCTCTCCTGCAATTGTCAAAAATGACCTACTAAGCCCTCAATGAATACTTTTCTAACAACCTACTTCGTACCCCTATTTTTACCCTTTGTGTCACTATACCCCACTCCCTCTAGAATGTAAGCTCATTGAGCAGGGCCCTCTACCTCTCTGTTCCTGTACGTCCAATTGTCTGGTTAAAATTACATGTCTGTTAGTCCACCAAATGTACAGCGCTACGGAATGTGATGGCGCTATATAAATAATAAAATAATAATAATAATAAAAGACTACCAAACTTGACTGACCGTTAGCACTGATTTCATGGAACTGTTTTGGGCATAGGACCATGTGCACGGTGGGTCAAAATTATGACTTCCATGAAATTCTTGAACCCCTGAACTGATCTGGGTAATTTTTGGATATGTTGGTCACCCAGATCAGGGATGTAACATTTGTGGGGATAGCATGTGTTTTGGGTACTTTTGGGACTTTTTAGAAATGTGTGTTTTTTCTTTGCTTGGAGATAATTGGATTAGAATTAGTACAGTTACTGATCCAATTATCTCCCGAGCAGAGGGGAGGGATTGTGTGTCACGTGTGGGAGTGCCTTACATTGTAAATGTGTTATTATTGGTTTGTAAGTTTGTGTCCCTGTCCCCAACAAGGTCCATGTGGGTGTACACCTTGCTTTGGGATTGTTATAAAAGGCCAGTGTGGCACCATTAAAATCCTATTCCAGCTTACACTCCAAAACTGTGTGTCGTCCCGTTATTGGAGGGAAAGAAGACTTGCTCCTGTGTCTGCTGTTTCAGCTTGCAGGGAATTCGACGGGGAAAGTCCTTGTAAGGACTAGAGCTAATTCCCCATTCGGCTCCAGGAAGGAGCAGTTCCAGGACCCCAGTCAAGCCACGGCGATTGTGGGCAGAAGTGCTGCAGTTTGTCCCCTGTTCCAGCTAGTAAGTGGTCCTTGGTGGAGGTATCCAGCCAGTGGTACAAGGAGCTCCATTAAATTGTGGTTCAAAGCATCAAATCCTAACATAAAAGCCTGCTGTAGTGGTCATGATGTTAGGATTAACCTGGCGCTGTTTCCCGATAATAGGGCAAATCGTTTTACAAAAGTTTGCTCAACTACCTGGTCCCGCCAGACCAGCCTCCTGTAAAGCAGACTTGGGTTTAAACTAAAAGTGAAACACTGCACATACAGACTCCAACACCATAACCACTTCAACTCTGTGAATTGTTTATGGTGCCTGTAGTAACCCCTGCTAGAGATATGTACCATTTCAAAGCTAACCGTTTAAACACACCAAAAAAGGATATGCTTACTATATGATACACTAGAAAAACACACCCTCAGAGAAGTGTACCTCACACACACACTATAAAGAATAAACACAAGGACGTATATATAAAAACCCAAAGGTGATATATACAAATAGAAGGTGGTTGAGAACAATACAACCTGAATATGGCTGAAAATGAACGTGGAATCTATAAAATAGCAAAATACAAAATATAGTGAAGTAAGTTAGGCAAAATTGGATTTGCACGTGGTAGAAAACTTACAAGAAGGGAGTAGTAATCACGCCTGTCATCCTGTCAGGGGTACTTTCCACATTGGAGACCGAATATATATGGCGAGGACTGACAATATCACTTTTTCTTCAGCTCAGGAATAAAATATCCCTTTTTCCTTCAGCTCAGGAACAAAAGAAAAAATATAGATAGTGCAGATTGTATAAAAATAACAAAATTTATTCCAAATATTGCACTTACAAGAAATCAGAAGTAAGACAGCATATCTCCATAATGAAGTAATGGCCGGGTCTCCAGGTGAAAGTAGAGAGAGATCCCAAAATGGAGGTACACAAAATTAAAAAAATATAAAATAAAATAAATAAAAATAACAAATGGACTATAATAACAGCTGTATATTAGCATAAAAAGTCCAAAAGTAGTATCCAACGCGTTTCGTCACTATGGTGAC